CCCCCCGCACACACACACAAGCACTGCGTTTCTGCTGCGCGAATACTCTACACAACGGCGGTTGGTTGTGTCTGGATGCATTCCAGGATGCTCTCTCCGAATCATGTGCAAGAACAGAGTGGGAGGAAGATTGGCGAAGTACTGTAGTTCGCTCCTGAATGATTCGACACTTGGTTTCGCTCCGCTTGTCTGTCTCGCGTGCATAATAACGGTAGGAACACGGCGATGAGGCTCCATCGTCGTCGGCGTCATCAGCACAAGAAGGTCCCGCGAGGGGGGCGGCAGGCACAGGCCGGGAGGAGGTAGCAGTAGTAGCAGAGCCAGAAGGAAGAAGGGGGAAGGGGAACGTGCCGGCGTCATTAACCGCGGCGGCAGCGACGAAGTATGGCGCGGCGACGCGCATCGTGACCGTGGCCGGCCTCTCCTGCCCCTGCGGCGGAACCCACGTGCGGAGTACCAGAGAGATGGAGGGAGTGCGCATCACCAAGGCCAAGGCCAAGAAGGGCACCATTCGTGTCAGCTACACTCTCGCTCCTTCCTCCTCCTCCTCCTCCTCCTCCTCCTCCTCCCGGCCATCATAATCACAAATAGATGCCACGTCAAATGCTGTTCTTCAGGCCGAACGTTGATTGATGAATGATCGTGCACCAACCTGTGTGTAGGTGTAATTTTTTTTGTGTTTTCGCAGTAGTGTTAAGACTATGTGTCACAGGTTGTGCGTGTTTTTTTTTGCAATTTACCAGTTACGCTGTTCGCGTTGTTGACGTACCGTGATCAGTGGTCTTACACACGTGCGTGCAATCTACGCCATGCTTTGGTCCATGTCCTCACCGCTGCGGAACTTGTGCCGTGTAACAAACTTGTTGGTGCTGGGGTGACCTTTTCGCCATCACACTCAATCAAGGGAGGATAAGGACATGCACGTTGTGGAATCCACCAAATCTCCGTCGTATCTTGGCTTCTCATAAATCTCTCACGTTGCAGAAGTACCTACCTGTAGGACGTGCTACCACACCCGCTTGGACCAAGTTTCGATGACTCAACAGCGAAGAGGGCAGGACAAGTCGGTACATAGTTTTCGCAAATATCTCGACGAACGAGATGATTCCAACGCCGCCATTATTTTCGGCGCAGAGTGGTAATTGAAGCAAACGACATGCACCCCAGTGTTAGGGTGTTCTCGCCGAAAAAGGAGGTAGAGGCTGATGATCATGACTTTTTTCTGTTTTTTTCTGGTGGTACATTCAGTCTCTCACCTGTCTCGTGTTTACCGACGGCTGGCCAAGCACTGATGCTTCGCCTACGTAGACCAAGAGTCACTTAAGCAGCGAGGAAGAACATCGATTTCTGGCTGGACACGTTGTACGTGTCATGAGCATGCACAAACAAAACTGGTCGCGCCGTCACGTCTTGACTGGCGGACAATTGCGCCGCCGTGGGTGGTGACGTGCCAGAGAGAACGACAATCGATGTCAACACGCGAACAGCGGATTCCATCACCAAACGTGCGTGATAGCAAAGATGCGTTGCCGTCAAGAAGGGTTGGGGTACATACGCACTCGCCCGATTTCGTGCCAAGCAACCGACGCATGCACGGTCACCAGATACACACGGGCTTTCGGCCGTTACGCCGTGGCCGTGGTCGGCTCCAAGCCTCCTCAAAAGAAGAGCAAGTCATTCTAATAAAAAACGTGCAGGCGTAATATTTTATATCTTCGAGGGCGGGGTATAGTACACGCACAAAAAACCTTTCGCAAAAATGCCGCGATTCCCGCCCCGTGCACACCAAACAAGTCGAAGAACAACAGAACACCGGCCTGGGTATCCCATACACAATGCAAGCTTACATCAAGACCTCCATCGTAAGTGTCAACAGGTCGCGCGGGCATGTACAAGGTGTTCGGCAACGCTGGGGGGGGGGGGGGGGGGGGGGGGGGGGCTGAATGCTCATCGTTGGGAAAAAATCGCTCTGATAAATATTCCAGNGAAGAGCCCCCTACGAAACAACAAGCCAGTAACATGAACGGCAGGCAGAAATCGTCACACATTACTTTAGTCGCGCACGGTCTGTTCTGTCCATGTACGCGTGCGTCGCGAAGAGAAGCACACGGGGGTCAACCCCCCCGTCTGCTTGGCTATATATCTGTTGCGCTGCATCACAAATCTTACAGAACCTCCAACAACCACCATTTACGTGACGTCATAAAAAATGGCCAAAAGCCAACATGCGCGACGGCGGTGGGTCAACACGCCGCGGAGCCTTTCTAACTTCGTTGGGCTACGAACTCTACTGAATTTGACAGTCTTTTAAAAAAGTTTCTCAACACTGCGGGTGACAGTGGACGACGGATGAAAAATTGGCGGCAGCACGAAGAAAACCACGCAAGCCGGCCACACACCACAGCTCCCCCACCCCCCCCCCCCCCCCCCCCCCCCCCC